CTCATGATTGTTTGCTGACTTCGACTTTTTTTTTATTTTTTCAATAGTTTTGATAACCATCTTGTGATCTTCAGGACACTGTTGGTTCTTAAAAGAAGAACCTTGTAGAAGAATCCGTCACCTTGATAAACAATGAGGGCGATCCTACTTACAGGCCAAAAGGATCTTTTGTGAGTTCTTCTAGCAAACTGAACCAAACTTCTAGGCACGAAGCCGTTGGGAATCCTACTGAAGAAGTTCATAGTGAAGGGCATGTTAATCCTAGGACTCCACAAGCTAATGATGATGGACATAAGGGTGGGGAAGAGGAGGTGGTTGATGATGTGATCAAAACGGAGAAGGAAAACATGCCAGTGGGAGAAAATCTGACTGAAGATATTCTGGCGACTGATGAGGGAGAAAACTTACAAGGGGAGCAGGAAACTATGCGCGTGTTAAAGATGTTCTTGTGCAAACGTCTATCAAAGCCAATGTGGCCCGCGTTGTAAACGATAGGGTCACTTCGACAGGCTCTCATACCAAGGAAGATTTGGCATTGCCGAAACAGAAACATCCTCTTGGCTACTTGACTGCCATCCTTGAGGAAAGAGAAAGTTCTTCTGATCAGAGTGCTTCGACTGTGTCTGGAAAATCCACTTCAACATCTCCTCTTGAAGAATCACTTCAAAAGGTTAAGGCACAATTTTTCAAAAGAGATTTAATGCTGACCTTAGAAGGAGAACTTACAGCTCCTTCCTTTTTGAAGACTACTTTAAGAGCTGTCGACCTTCTTGCTGCTTCGCCTGACATTGCCAGCGTTATCTTGGATTTGATTTCCATCTTCGATCAGGTTTCAGCTGACTAAAATCATCGGAGGACTCTTACTCGTGAAATTGAGGAGGCTAGTGGCCATGTAGCTATTGCCTAGGGTGCTGCTGCTGAATCAGCTTCAAAGATGAAGGAGCTGTCGAAGGCGCAAGAAGCTAGGCAGGAAGAAGTAGAAGAACTTGATCAAAATACATCCATTATGAAGGCTCGGATCAGAGAGCTAGAAGCCAAGATTGCTGCCAATGATAAAAGAAAGGAAGAACTTCTTGCTTTCAGAACTGATTTAGAGAGTCAAGAGGAACTCAACAAGGGATTAGCATATGCCGAACGAGCCCAAGCATTGGATGTCAAGATCGGGACTCTTCATCAGTCGAAAGCCCTGTGCGAAAGACGCTTGGAGCTACAGAAGATAAAATACCTCCAAATCAAGGCCAACCTCCCATTTTGATTTCGAATTTTTGTTGTATGCTTATATATTTTGTAATGACTTTCAGCCATTTTGGCTTTATAATATATTTTCCATTTTGGCTTTTTGACTCGATTAAGATCAAGTATTGGTTACTCTAACCTCTTGAAGTGCAGGTCTATACTTTTTAAGTATTTACCATTTACTCTCAAGAGCCTTTTGTCTTCATTTAACTATGTGACCTCATATACACCACCAGATAACGTTTGAATGATCTTAAAAGGTCCCTCCCATTTAGGAGACAATTTTCCCATATTTTTGTCCTTTCGATCCATTGGGAGGATTACTTTCCATACCAGGTCTTCAGGCATGAATACCTTGGGTTTGACTCTTTTATTGTAAGATCTTTCCACTCTCCTCTTTTGTGACTTTAAGAGATCCAAAGCCCTCAATCTTTCTTCGTCCAAATCAATTAATTCATCTAACATCATATTCCAATAAACTTCTGAAGGGATGTCTTGATGTTTCTGAATTCTTGTTGACTGTAAACAGATTTTTGCTGGCAATACTGCGTCATGTTCGTAAGTTAGTCAAAATGGTGTTGTTCTGGTAGCTTCCTTAGGAGACATTCGACAGGCCCATAAAATTTGATCTAAAGTCTTGTGTCAATTTTTTGGATTCTTTCCCACATGCTTCTTTATTAAGCTGATTATTACCTTGTTTGCCGCTTCGACTTGACCATTGGCTTGTGCATAGTGTTGTACCCCAAATTTTGACCTAAGACACCGTCTTCCATCTGCATCATTCGCATTGCAAGAGTTTTGACCTATTTTTATCAAATTTTCAAAGCAGTTTAAAAAATGCATAACTTTTTCGAGTCGGGAGCTGTTTATTTGTTGAACGCTAAATTTATTAACTGATCAAGATTTAAATGACGTTTATTAATTATTTATTATCTTAAATTTAAATAATTGGAATCTATTTTTCAATTGTTATATAATTTAAAGACTTATGAATAATGAAATAAGCATTTGAGAATGAGTTTATTAATTGGTCAACAATGATTATTTAATTCTTTATCATTTTAGATTAAATAATTAAAATTCTATTTTTTAATTATTATAATTTGGAATTTTACGAATAATGAATTAAATAGTTGAATTTGTTGATTAGTCGATGATGTTTATTTATTTGTTTGTCATTCTGAATTTAAATGATTGGATTTGATTTTCAATCATTATATGATTTAAGGAATTATAAACAATAAATAAATAATTGGAAAGAAAAGGAATTAATTGAGAAATAATAGAATTTTTATTCACTTTATTCTATTTATTACAATTGTTGTTTAAATACTATTGTACAAAGTATTTATAATAACCATTACATAAATGCTTAAAGTAAAATAAAACTATTTTCCTAAATTCTAATTCTAATCTTCTATCCAATACTCTTTGTCTGCTCATTTAAATTTTACCTGCAAAAAAAAACGATTAAAAGAAAGAAATTAGAATTCGAATAAATAATTAAAATGCAGAAAATAAATTCAATGTTCATCATTAAAAGCAATGGCCGGAATCAGTTACTCTTTTTTGCAAATCACGGGATTTCTCCCGGTTCACAAAAAAGAGAGGAATTTTTAAATGAATGCACAATTAAAAAATAGCACATTTTCAAAATCAATTGCATTTTTATCAAAAAAACCCACTGCATATTTCAAATATGCATAAACTCATTTTTTGGTCAAAGCTGCATAAAACATATGAAACAGCATGTGTAGTTCACATAACAACAAGCTAACGTTAACCTGCAACCACATAGGAGAGATATGCAAGACAAAAGAAAATGCAATTCCAACAATATGCAATTTCCAGCATGTGCAGTCTTAAAACAATGTATGCAAGCAACCTATATTTCCTTTTTTCATCATATTCCAGCCTATTACTTTTTCAGACAGCAGTACAAGATATCATATATATATATATCATTTCTGTACTTGAGGGAGAGAGAGAGAAGAGGTTCCATTTTGCAGGTTCTGGCCTAAGCATGAAATGGGAATGAAATCACATGTAGCAGCATATATGCAGCATCAGGAAAATATAATAATATACTCAAACCTGAGCCACAAAAAAGGAGCAACGGCTATATGAAAATCCCTTCAAAAGGAGGATAGCCTGCATACTGCAGAAGGGGGGGGCATAACCTGCAGGCAGGGGATCGACACAAGCCTACCATTCAAAACCATTTTTCTGCATAGGCAAAACGGCATACTACAGCCAACCATTCAAAACCATCCTGCATATTCTAAAACCTACATATTCAATAACCATTCTGCATACAAAACATATTCCTGCATATCTCTACAAAACATATTCCATTTCCACATAACAATCACTACAAAACTATCAAAAAACATAGCCCACTGCTACCATCAAAACCATGGCATATCTCTACATAAAACCTACATCAAAACCCATTCAAACCATTTGTTCAATAAACCATAACCTGCACACTGTACCAAAACCATAAAAAAAACAATATAATCCAAAACCACCAAAAAACCAATTATTCATATTTCCAACCAATTTTTAGACGAAGAAGAAGAGAAGAATTAGTAGCAGAAAACAAAGAGCGAGAAGTCTTCGGAGCTTACCTGACTTCGCCGGAATCGTACCGTCGGACTAGCTCCGACCATGTGAGTTTCTTCAGTTTTTCGCATAAACCTTTATATCTTTGTGTTGCCTTTGTCTCACTTAATAATGCTCTTTAATTTCTTGAAATCATGTGAAATGGCCATTTAATATCGTTGCTAATCATCAATGAGCCTGCAGCAATACATTAATCCCTGTTATACACCGACAATAACTCGATTGATAAATTTCAAAATTCAATAATGTCGCAAGACCAACGCAATCATATAAACACTGTTACTTTTAAAGTCAACTCGAAATAATAAACAAGTTCACAAATCTGTTTCTTCTCTTTAATCAATTTCTCGTTAATTCAATCAAAATGGCAAAAGAGATAAGAAATTCCATACAAGCATCATGGGTGAAATAATCGAGAAGGGTGTGTTTCAATGTCCTTCCCTAACAGCCAGCATAGTACAATTGTAACCATGGCAACCTTTCCTTAACCTTTCCTAGCACTAATTAACTAACCTACTCACAGGGTTTATTCTAACACTAACTTCCAGTTTTACTAACATTTTCTAATTCTTATTTTTCTAAACAGATTTAACATTCAATTCAGTAGATAACAATTAAGAGTGTGAGATTTCACTAACTTGACTTTCATTTTCGGTTTCCATGACCTCTTAACCATTTTTTTAATTAACTTCTTAACTCTTGAAGAATATCCTCTACCAGATTGCTAACCAAACCAACTGCAACCTTCATCCTTTTTAACTCACCCTAATTGAAATTAACTTCTCATTTGCCCTGCCAAGCACCAACCTGCATCATACATGAACAAAAATAGTCCAATAGTGAATAATAACACCAACCATTTAACACTTTTAACAACCCCGTTTCTATTTCACTAACAAAAATGAAGTCCTTAACTAGTTTTCATAGTCTAGTTACTAACTGTCGAACTTTCTATTAACATTGAACTAGCATGCAATTAGCTCACAAATTATTGGATCCATAATAGTCCTTAGCAGTAACTTCGCATTTTATTCATTAACTTACTAACTTTCTATGACATATTTTTTTTTCAAACCAACAATTACTAATAGGTTAACATTTCTGACTCTCAAAACTGACTTTGAAACTCAAAACACCCTTCATTGGGCTGATAAAGCAAAGGAGATTCGAATAGAGGCACCTGATGCAAACGAGGATCTATTACCGGTACCTAAAACAGAAAAGACCAGGCAAAGCTGATACTTGGGCTACAAAACGAGAATCATCAATTACCTACATATTTATAATTCTAAGACCTAACTATCGTTAATTAGCACCATAATCAGTGTAACTTGGAAATTAAAAAATGAAGAATTACCGATTCCAACGAGATCAACAGCAGATAACTTTCTAGCCAATTGAGGATGACTCCTGCAATGAACAGAATCAACTTGCTTCCTCCTAATCACGCTTCGAAATCCACTAAACCACGGTCGTTCTCGTTCTCGTTCTTCAGCACCAACACCGTCATTCCCAATTTCCACAATCATTATCCAAATTTCAGATTCCAATACAATAATATAGCCGCGTCGAAGATGATTAGCGAACCGTGAAGGAGATCAAGCTTTGATGATGAAGTGGATCGTGAAGGAAATCGGAACGAGAAGGAAGAAAAGGAGGTCCAGCGCCGGCGGCATACCCTCAGCTCCTAGGTTTTTTTTCGCTTCAGCATGTGTGTTTCTTCCTCTTGGGTCTGGGTCTTCCAACGACCCGGCCCATTTCCCTCACCCAGCTCAATTCTTTTCTTACACTTAAGCCCATTCTCTTTGATAATCCACCCCATCTTTTATTTGGTCTTTAGTTCAATTCTATCTATTTCATTTTTCTTAACTATATTTAATCTAGATTAATTAGTTCCTTAGGAATAACATATATTTTCAATTAGACAATTTCTAATATTTTACCCCAAATCTTATTAGTTTAAGTTTTTTAATCAAAATAAGAGGTATAACTTAAAACATTTTTAATATTTGACTAATTTTATTAATTTAAACTCTTAGGATTTAATTTAGTAATCTTAGTATCTTTTTTAAATTAGACTTAAGTTAGTAGAATTAAGTTTTAATTTAATTTAAAGAATTCTTAAAAGTAATACCTTTTATTTATATTACAAAAAGACATAAAAAATAGAAATATATAAAAACCTTAAAAAACATTTCTATTAATTTTCGTTATTTTTTATCTATGTTAAAATGCGTAACCAATTAAAACATTTTTTCTCTTCATATATTAAACAAAAATCATATAAAAAATGCATATTCACATTTAATTGTTGTGTATCATTTTCTGTCAATTATTTCATTGTACTTGTTTATTCTGTTTGCACCAATCCAAAGGGAATAGTCTAATTTTTTGTTGACTTCATGTCCTCAAAAAACGATCGAGCGAGTACCCTCATTTCATTGAAACTTAGGATAATTTTTCCAAATATCCGATTTCTCCAAAACTCACACCTTTTAAGTCAAAACTTCGACATTAGGTCGTCGTATCTTCAAAAACCCGTCCGTATCCCTTTTTCGGCCAAAACGATTTATTTTCAATCAAGCGATCAATTTTAAATAAAACAGATATTTCAAAAGGTTCCTATAGAGTACTATAGATGCATTGGGTGCTAATACCTTCCCATTGTATAACCAACCCCCGAACCATAAGATCTCTTTTCAAAAACGCTTTGTATTTGTATTTTTAGTTACATTGCATATTTAGGGTTTTATTTCGCTCTCTTCCCTTTTCCTTTGGAAACAATAAAGCGCGGTGGCGACTCTTGCTTTTGCGAGACGAATTAATTAATAATTCGATCTCCGATTTACCCCGCTACATTTTTTATCGCTACAGAATTGGCGACTCTGCTGGGGAAAGATTGACCTCTTGCTGGTCCATCCCTAAGTAGGTTAAGCCTAATTTGTTTTATCTGTTTACTATTATTTGATTTGCTTGATTATATGTTTAAATTTGGGGTGTTTGGGCTTTTTTGCAAAGGACGAATCCTACACCCGGATTAAGTAACACTTAAGAAATAGGACGGGCGGTATAGTCATGTTAACTTTGAGGGAGTAATCCCGAAGAAGGAGGCATGAGATCCCCCACTCAATGGAAGGCCCTCTTGAACTTAATATTTGTTTACCGAGTAATCGGGAAGACGTTATTATTTTCGACCTAGGAGCCCGAGAAGTTGAGGACAGTAGAACCCTAACCCATCTTGGCCTTTTTAGGTGTAGCGCGGAGACTATAACGGAGTAATTCGGAAGTAGTTGTCACGCGATGCTACGCTCGGACGAGTTTCTCTTGAGAATATTGCTGATTATCGAGTAATCCAGACGTTGGCAATATCCGAAGGAGGAATGTAGACTCTGGGAACTCTTAGAACCTTGTCTTACAGGTGTGATTAAACCCTTAGTACATACCTTGGGGATGTTTTACCCTTGACTCCATGCTCGTGACGTTGAACCTGTTAACCCCATGTTTTTGACCTTGCTTGTGGTTGTTGCATCGCCATGCATTCATGCATCCATAAAACTCTTTTCACTTGACTTTGAAGGAGTTTGGAGGTCTTTCTTTGTAGACATCACTAGTTTCGTCAAACTCAATGGATCTTGGGTGTCGATAGGGCGAAAACCCTAATCCACCAAAATGGATGATTGATCTTGACGATAACTTGATCAATGTTTGGAGCCAATTTAAAATTCATCTGTTATCTTCATACTTGGATGTTTATAACTTGATATCTTGAGTTCCTTGAAAGTCAAATAAAACTCTTTTGCATATCATACATCATTCTACATTTCTCTTTGTCTCGCTTTCAAAAGTCTTTTTTCGAGTCTCATTTTTCCTTCGGTCTCACCAGTACAACACTGACGCTAAGAGAACAATGGAGAATATCAAGCAAGAGGTTTCTGAACTCCGCAGAGAGGTGACTATTTTGAAAGCTGGTTTGGATCACTTAACTGGTTTGTTTGAAATTCTGATCTCCGCCCAAGTCAATCCGTCTAGGAGGGAGGAAGCAAGGATAGAAGTCTTCACGGAGACTCTAAAATCTTTTTCTCATGAAAAGGTGACGGTTAATGCACCTGACGACTTTCCTGACAAGGTGAACGTGGGAGTGCGTCTAGAAGAAGATGTCGGGAAAGGATGTTCATATGAAGACGGTAGCGCAGCTAATGGTGTGAAGAAGTTTGATAATGACTTTTTCAAGAAAAGAACCAGAAGAGATAATCATCATCAGAATCATCATGTTCATCAACAGAATCAGCAAGTTCCTAATCAGAGGAAAACCCAGTTTGATTCAATTCCAATCACCTACGCAGAGTTGTTCCCTATCCTGATGCAGAGGAATTTGGTTCAGACCCGACCTCCACCGAAGGTCCCTAAGAAGATACATTGGAACTACAAAGCTGATTTGGCTTGTACTTTTCATCAAGGTGCTCGTGGGCATGACTTGGAGGGTTGCTTCGCTTTGAAGATTGAGGTTCAGAAGTTGGTCAGAGGTGGTATCTTGTCGTTCAAGGACGTTGGTTTTGAAGTTCAAATCAAACAGGCGCCGAAGAGTAAACACGACTGAGGGTGACTTTGAGTTTTTGAGGATGTTTTCGGTAGTTCAAGTGGAAAGCCTTCCCAGTTTATTAACTTGTTTCTGCTTTTGTAGCTTTTCTTATTTATCGAAACATTGTTTGCATGTAAGAACTTGTTTGCGTCTGAATGATTATTTTAACACGATGAGTATGTTTGTCTTGAAGAAATTCATTCGTTTCACTCATATTTGCTTTCAAATTTTAAATTTCTTTTTGCATTATGATACCAACATGTTGCCCATTCTCTTGCCTAGGCAGAGATTGAAGGGGGGATGATGATCTAAAGAACACAAAATCTTTGGTTGCATGCTTTTGAATAAAATCTTGTTGATGATGTACAGGCATTGTTTCAAATCCCTAAACACCGGAGATATAAGGAAGATAATCCCTTGCTAACCCCTTTTGAGCCTTTGAAGCAGAAGTTTTCTTTTCTATACGAAAAAACCTTGAATTTTAACCTGGGGCAGGGTAGCTTTCTGTTAATTTGATTGAGTGTTCAAAATTCGCAAGGAAGATGTTACCGTCACAAAATCCTTTGAGAGATGAACACTCATGTTGAATTAACCGAACATAGAGTTGGAGAACATCATGAAGAATGGGTGGGCACCAAATATTTTGAGCCTTAAAATCTTTTTCTAAAACCCATAAACCGGACCACATTACAACCTTCAAAAGTCCTAATTGAAACAAGGTCATTCTGAAAACATACTTCAATGAGATAGTGTTCCTGACTCCCATGAATGTTTATGTTGGTAGCATATGTTTTCCCTATACAAAAATAAATGATGCTCTAACTCGCAAAATTTGTGCGATATCTTTTCAAAATCTTCAAGACTTACATAACTGTTGCATTAGAATTTTCATTCTCATTGTAAACTTTTTCTAACTGCAAAACATTTGTTTGATATCAAGGAAGCTCACATAAACGCCAGTGATGAGTTTACCCTTTTAAGGCTTGAAACTATGTTGAGTAATTGGAGAATCAATTCAAGAAAATCATATCCAGGGGCATGTCAGTTGAAGACCTTAAGCATGGACAGGTTGCTTCTCCTAGTTAATGCTTTTCCCAACTTGTTTGCTCGATTGGGGCAAAAATTCGAAGACTTTGTTGTGCCGACTACAATCAATCCGGGGCAGTCGCGTCAAGATTGGATGATTTCCTCTAAGAGTTCGAGGACACCAGAGCATAGTGAATGCCAGGTCTTTTGTAAACCCTCTTGAGACGCTTTCTCCTCATCAACCTTTTAGCTTGGGGCATTCTAGAAGTGAAACTATTCGCAAGAATCGTCGTGCATCATGCAGCTCGTCAGCAGTAACTCGGGGCATCCATATTGGTCCCAGGGGCAATCTAGACTTGTTAGAATGTGTGTTATGTATCGCACACTTTATCAGAGGATGGTGTTCCCAGTATCTCCAACTAAGAATGGCTCTTTCCAGCTGAAGCATTTGTTCGTGTTGTCGACGATAGAAGACTGGACTTTGGGTTAAATATCTTCCTCTCCAAGAGATTTGAGCTTTGTAGGATAACTTTGCTCCTTTGATGGCTTTTATCTTCTATCTCCAGTGATGTTCCCCTCCTTTTGAAATTAGCCGAGTGTCGGGTTGTACTGTGATGCCTTGTCATCTTTTGTCCATCTCCCCTGTCGTTTTGTCAGCATATACATGGCATTCATTTATTCATTCACACTTGCATCATGCACGCACAGTTGTATTTGTTGACGTCATTAAGTTCGTACACTTTGGTTGTGCCTTTTCAAATAGCACATTTGATCTTTCCAAATAGAGTGCCAACTTAAGCATAAAATGTGCCTCCTTTCTAATTCCCCAACTGAGCTAATCCTCGTGGATGATTTTTGATTTAGCTTACCTTGTCCATTTCGGGATAGGATAATTTCCCCAATCGATTTACTTTCTCATTGGGA